CAGAAAGGTGGAATAACTCTTTCTTTCACTTTTACTCGATGTATTACAGCATCCAGCAGCCATGCATGTGGGCATTGTCAGTTTCACTATAGCTCTGGTGAATTTCAATGGTGAAGTCCTCTGGAAATCTTCAATAATTGTTGTTGATTGCAGATGTGTCTAGTAGTTCCCATTGATTTTGCTTGTAAAGCGGGGAGAATGGCGCTAGGCTTACCGCACCGTGACGTCACTGCTGGAAGATGGCAGGAGGGAGGGTTACTATATTTGGGCAAAAATGGCCGCTCCCAGACTCAGTGATCGGGACAAAAATGGTTTTTATTTTTTAATGATTAGCGCTAAATTCATGAAATCGCTGCAAAGGTTTTAGTTTTAGGTATAAATAATGATCCATTGATTATTCCTTGCTGACCGGACTTTTCCTTTAAGTAAAAGTCCATTTATGGTATAATTCTGTTCACAGAAAATGAAAAACAAATATTTATAACATTGTCTGATGGAATTCTACGGAAGAGGATTAGGGCCATTGAAAAAAAAAAAAAAAGTAAACTGATTTTTACATTTTATTTCAGTTTAACATGGGGAAAAAAGTCAGAATTCTGACTTTTTTCTCAGAATTCTGAGATTAAAGTCAGAATTCTGACTTTTTTCCCACACTATACTGAAATAAGATAAAAAAAATCAGTTAACTTTTTTTTTTTCCAGTGGCCCTAATCCTCTTTCGTAGAATTCAATGAATCATACAGTGTATAAAATATGAATATTAATTTCCGTTGGTAAGATAAAGCATTTCTGAAATACACATTTTTTTATTTGAAGAGATGAAGTAAAGTAAGAAAATCTTTATTTAAAGCAGAGCATAAGTAGCTCAAGTCTAGCAGCGGAAATTCTGCTTCTATTGATGGTATCAGAAGCACTTTTGCATGTAAATGAATCACTTTGCTCGTTTATTATTGGGTTCAAGGGTGTTCAAACAGAGCAGATAACAGCAGTGAGAAGTTTCCTTTGCAAACGGAGCATCATGAGAGGTGAATGTGAGTCTAATGTGGCTTAGACCTGCTTTGATCATCAGCTGTTAGGACCATTTAAATTGTTTCAATAAGGTGGATGGAGCTTAAAGATGCAAAGATCCATTTAAACATTAGAGAGCAGAACATCTAAATGGACACATTTCTGTTATATTC